TTTTCAATGTTTTTCCAAATAAACCTCGGTGGCGACTTCATTGTTTTTAAACTTTCTTTTCTTTCGCCGTCACGTCGTGATCCAGTTGCGAAATCCAATAAATTAAGGATTTTGGTTAAGAAATAGTATGGAGTTTACCTTACTGCCCTGACTCGCTTGACTCTAATAAGCATCTGTATTTTGTTTTTTATTTTATTTTGGGGCATTTAACTGAACTGTAATCCTTTCTAAAATTGCCCTTTTTAGTTTGGTTATAAGTAACAATGTAAGTTTTTTTTTCTATTAAATCTAACATAAAATAAGTTTTAAACATAGAAAGTATTTCAAGGGAATTAAATAGTAAAAAATAAATATCAAAGAGAGTAAGTTAAATCACATGGTTTACGTGTACTTTATGTTCGTTTGATTTAATTTTTTTAAAAATAAAATCAATTTAATCTAAAACTAAATTTCGGGACAGCTAAATGATAAAAAGAAAAATTCAAGAGAATAAGTTAAGAAAAGCTATACTTTAAGGAAGTAAAATGTAGTTTATATTTTTATTAATTTTTCTCCTTCTGCATTTAGAGGTGTAAGTAAGGATCAATCCAAGAAAGCATCTGTATATATTTATTTTAATTTTCTATAATACATTAGAGAGGTAGGAATTTAGAAACGAGAGGTAATATGTGGGGACCGGAGACTATAAAATAAGATTTATTATTTATTTATTTATTTTGGATATGAACTGTTATGGATTTAAAACCAATGAAGGTCGGGCGGAACAGAATACAATAAAGTAATATTTATGATGTTATTATTACATCTCTATAGTTGGCATTATCTGTATTTTGTTCGGTTGTGTTGTAAACTGTGCATTTACGAAACTCATAACTGAACATATTGCAAGTTCTTTTTAGCGGGGGAAAAAAGCCTAGCCCAACAAAAAGGGAATGTGACTAGTGGATCTCTTTGTTGAAATGCATATTGTGATTTGGGCTTTTAATTTAACGGTATTTGGGCAGAATGTCATTTTTCTGCACCTAGACCTAACCCCGTATTTCATCCTCACTTTCAAATTATATATAATAAATGGAAAAAATATTTGTCATTTTAAATGATATAAAGTTATGTTATTTTAAGAGAGAGATAAACACAAAATAAATTTTTTTATTTAAAATTTAAATTAAAAAAAACTCATCCACTTTCTCTTCCATGATTTTCATTTATTGTGTCTATCTCTCTCTTAAAATAACATAACTTATGTCATTTAAAATGACAAACATCAAACTCATAAAAAATAATTATCTCTTTCTATAAATTTTTCTGAGTAGAAGTGTAATTCAATTCTTGATCTAGAGCAGTTGGCACATTTCCTGATGGTACAGTTTATGATATAAAAAAAACAGGATATTAGGTAATATTTAAATTTACATAGTCAGGAAATTGCAATAAAAATTGCTATAATAATAATAATAATAATAATAATAATATTATTATTATTATTATAAACATAAAAATATGCGGAAGCAAACATACTTTAGCATTTCTTTTCTCCTTTGCATTCTGATTTGCAATTCTTTTTTCTTTTTTAATATAATAGTGAGAATTAAATATATAATCTAATATAAATTATTCAAATCTCTCGTTATTAGACCAACCCTAATGACTCGTGTTTGCAATTCTTCTTGATCTCTTGTGCACGTCCTTTCGAAAGGTTTCTCCATAGTTTTTTTGGCAATTTTTTATTAATTATATGTATTTTTTTATAATTTTAAATATCTTCTCTTTTAATCTATATTTTAAATATTTTACTGAAGTTAATATACGTATATCCCTTATAATTTTAGTGCTTTTCCTCAAAAATATTTAAATTATTATTATTTTTTGAATAATTTGACATAACTAATTTAATAGTTGAAGAAAAAAGTTCAAATGTTAAACACTAAAGACATATGCGTTTACTGTGAGTTGACAGGGCTAGAAAGCAAAGAAGAGGTAGGTACCCATTTTTTTTCAATACCGCTAGAGTATCAAATTCTGAACTCCCATTTTCCAAAATTAAATTTTTTTATACCACTTAAATTCATGTCTTTTTGCATATTTTTCTTCTGATATTTTATTAATTTGAAAAATGATGCAGATACTATAATATACCGAAAAAGCTCTAGGTAGGTACATGGTCTGACTAAGTCACTGTAATGATTTGCACCTTGAAGTTTAGAGTGTGAACTTGCACACTTTAGTTTTGAAAGATATAATTAATCAGTCACAAGGACAGTCGTTTTGGACCAAGAATGATGTCTTATGATATAATTAAAGTATCGGTTTAGCACATGACAATTATTCCTGGTGAATGACAATTACAATACTTTACAATTACAATACCATTTTACATGTCAGACTATAAGTCTACAAGTTGATCTATATCATGTTATTTATTTTAAATTATATAAAATAATATTATTTATAGTAGTAACAAATGACGATAGTTCAATTGGTGTATTTAAGCTAAGCAGGTGGGGAAGCACCTATGTTCATTCCCTCACCAATACTATCTTTAAGAGTTGCATAAGATTTGTACAATCTCTACAATAACAATCTCTACAAGTGTTAATATACGATGGAGATTGGGTACATAATAAGTATGACTTAAAAAAAAATAAAAGGTATAAATTTAATCAATTGAAATTATTTTATAATTTAATTATATTCGATTAAATTTTAATAGAAATTTGACTTTATTTTTTATATAGGAAGAAACAACATCTCAGTATGTAAGATTGCCTATATGAATCTATTAAAAGATTTTTTGTTTCTTAATCTTTTTTTTTTTGTTTCTATTCTTTATTCTTGTTTTTTGTTTTCTACATTTACAAATTATTTGTCAACTTATGTAATCTTGGAATTATATTTGTATGGGAGAGACGATGAAGAGAAATTTTTGGCTACTACAAGCATCATGATATGTTTGTTGGATGTAGTTATTTTAATTTACATAATATAGATTTGTTTGTTGGATCTGATGAAATCTATGTTATTTAGTTTGAGCATTTTACTTTTGAAAAATACAGATTGTGATGAGTTTTGTTGTGATTCATGGTTCTGTTTGGACGTTGAAATTGTGATTTTTGTTTTAGCAACAAAATTTGAGTATTTTTTGAAGTTGATTCATGATTTTGCTTGAAAGTTAAAAATTAACAGGCTAATGGACCAAGTCAGTCCATTTGTTTTTTTCTATAAACGGGTCAAGTTAGGCTAATAGTTAGACTCGTACTAGGTTCGGGCCAGCCTAAATTGAAATTTTTTGGCATAGTTTTGAGCTTTTCAAGACGAAGCTTGTCTCAGCCCAGCCTACTTTCACCCCTATTTGTACATAACATAGACGTGTGATTGGAAAAATGTCAACTGAGGCACTCGAATGTCGAAAACTTAGAACAATCCCTGTAATTGAATGAGATGACCGAAAGAATATTCTTTACCAAAAGGCTCTTCAAGATTGAAAAAATTTAATATGCTCTAGGCCCACCACTTATTCAGTGGTCCCTTTGCCATAAATGAAAAATTTTCTTCCATTTTTATTTCTATCTTTTTGATTTTTTTCATCTTCAATTCCTTTTTTTTTTTTTTTTTTCTATTTTGGAAAGGAATTACTATGGTGCAGGCCCACAATAAACCTTCTCTCCAAGATTAAACCCATAATTTTTTGCAGTCGTTTATCATGGGACTATTATTACCACTCGAGCCATGAAACACTCTTTACTTTACAAACTATTCCAAGAGGCTTGTTTACGGTATTTGCACAAATTATCATGAGTAATTAAGACTATCTGTTTGGTGGTATTCAAAATACTCACGATACCAAACTTTCAAATATATATTTCCAAAAGCATGTAGATAGAAACATTGATTAGCTTGCTAATCAAGCAAATGTTTAGAAATTAATCGTGTAAGGATAAATATGGTGAGTGAGGCTCAAGAAATTGATCTCTAGTCAATTTCTTAATGGTATTATTACATACCCAAAGTTCAAATCACTCATTAAGTGTCTATAATATTCAAACAATATTCATAAACACGTGTTGCAGTCAGGTTTGTCTGCGAGGAATAAAAAGATGACGTTATTAACATTGCTCAAAATTACCATTCCATTAAAAATTACTAACTGATAACTACCAAGTCATCCAAAAAAAACAATATAATTAAGTTAAAGCCAAGTTCGAAACAATATAATTAACTAGACACGAAGAGTGGTTGAAATATGGCCAACAATAAATAATAATATGCACGAATACCCAATCCCTTTCTAATAAAAACAAATCCTAACTAGTCATCAAAGGTATAGATTATATATGAGCATTGGATGCGTATAGCATGACCAAGCTTTACACCGATGTTTTCGTCACATTCTTTTGGAAAAGTGATGTAACACTATATAAAATGTTTTCTGCACCAGCATTTTCTCATTTTAATTTGGCTTTTTTTCTTTTTAAGCAAACCAAACAAGAATATACATAAAAAAAAAAATAGCCAAGAATTTTAGAGAATACAAAGTTGGTGGTTAAATGGAATAAAATAATAAAGATAAAAAACTTGCCATATCTGTAACATATTTATGTTAATAATATAAGGGTTTGTTTTTTCTACGATTAATGTAGATAACTTATTTACATTGAGTCCAAAACGATGTCATTTTATAGTGAAAATCAATATATTTTTGTAATTATTATTTATTTTAGGGTTATAATAGTCTTTCTCATTATAATTTTTTAATTTTTCAATTTAAAATAATATCATTTTAAAAATAAATATAGATAACTTATCTACATTTCAGTTTAAAAACGTTAAAGCGATAATATAATGCAGTTATGGGTCGTTGAAATTGAACAAATGTATAAAAAAAGAAACTCAAAACATTAATTACTACATGTATAGCCTCACACTTTTTATGTATATATATAACACACCTCCACGACCATTTTCATATAGTGCAACACACGATGGGTGAAGAAGGAGAAGGAGCAGCTTCAGTTTACGCTATGATAGCGAACTTGTTAACACCCTCTGCTATATTCATCTTCGTCAACATCGTCATCGGCACCATAGCTATCACTTCTCGTTTCGCCAACACCACAAAAACGAAACGCGACTCGCCCACCCAACTCGTCCGTTCTTCCTCCTTGTTAGACCGAGTCATGTCCTTCAATCTCGGTTACTGTAAACACGAACCCACGACAACAACGGAAACCCACTGCGTTGTCGACTCGCCCCGGAGGGAAGAAGCTCCGAGTCCGGATTCGGGTGACCCGACCCGGAAACATATGACCCGCCCTCCCTCGCTCCTTGAGCGGCTGAAGTCCGTGAAGCTATATAGATCGGAGTCGATAAAAACAGAGGAGAGACCCGAACCCGGATCCGGATCCGAACCAGAATCTGGATCCGAACCCGAGATTATGGGTAGTGAGGATTCGGTGGATGAAGGGGTGGATGCGAAGGCTGATGATTTTATCAACAGGTTTAAGCAGCAACTGAGGTTGCAGAGGCTTGACTCCATTCTACGTTACAGAGAAATGCTCAAACGAGACTGAGAACGAGAGAAGAGATGAAGAACCCTTTGGATTCATCATTATTTGAATGATCTATGGGTAACTGAGAAGGATGGAGAGAACGTTTGGCATAGTATATGGACACAAGAATTGGCCTAGTTTGTTGTTTATAATTTGCATGGTTGAGATGTTAAAATTAGTTGATGGAACTTATAGTTGCTGACGCTAGAAATATGTCTAGCTTGTTAGTTTCTGATTTGTAATTTCTTTATGTTTCTGGGGCTTAGCCCCTCTTTATTTACAAAAGAAAAATTAGTTTGGACGAATTTTAATAGATAAACTACAATTAATTGCATAGTTAGAGCTGTCAAAATACGCTCTAGCCCAACAACCCCTAGAGAATTATGAGATGTAATTTACATTGTTGATATATATGTATATGTAGATTGTTGCCTTGGTTGGAGAAAGTGGTAGTTATCAGCCTCTTAGAGAGATTTTGTGACCCTGCAAATAAGCTAATTCTGATTAAGTACTTTAGCTTTGTTGTTAGAAACATTATGTTTATAGTTGTATCTTCTGGATGATTGCTTAATCATATCATAATTTTCTCAAAATATTTGTTTGGGTAGCTTCTACAGTTGCTCATGATTTTATGCAAAATGCTTAAGGTGGTGTTTGGTTCCAAGCTTTTCAACATTTTCCTATGTAAATGAAGTAGTGTTTTTAGAAAGCCAATCTTTGGTTCAACGGATTGTGACAAAATGTCCATCCATCCCATTTACATGGCTTTTTCAACTTTGCCTTTGAAAGATTGGTATCGGCACTCTTTAGAAAGCTCTTTTGAGGGTGATTTTTTTTTAAAAACCCGGGTGTGCTCACTGTTGACAAATTTTTTCACCCCCATTATACCCTCGACAGTGCTTGGATCACGATTCTCATCATCGCCGACATCCAATCAATCTTAGTTGTTACTGCAAACAAAACACACACACAGAGATAGTGATGGTGATGATACTGAGTGAGAGAAAGAAGAAACTGGGATCGTAGATGGGATCGTTTGCTTCTCAAACAAGCTGGGATCGACATTTCAAAATGTAAAGATTCCACCTTTTCAGCGATTCAAACAAAAAAATTTAGATTAACAGCAAGGAAAAACGATTTTCAGTGATTCAAAAACAAAAACAAAAACAAATTAAAAGCAAGGAGAAAGATTTTTAGCAATTCAAACAAAAAAAATCAGATTTTCAACTATCCCACCACATCGTCGACTAGAAGTTGCAAGCATTCCTCTTCAGATTTGCTTCTCCGAACCAAGGCTATGTCCCATCGATGCCTGGTCCGCTACACCGCCTACACGGATTGCTTCTCCGAACTCATAAGATAAGTTGAGAGAGAGGAAGATCAAATACAAGGTCACGGACACCTACACGTCGCAATCCTTATCTAGCATCTTTTATTTTATTTTTTTACATATTCCAATACAAATTTTTCACTTCAATCTCATTATTTTTCTTTTATTTGAATTAGCAGAGTAGTTTATTTGTATAATTAATAATTAATAATAATTAATTTCTTCTTTATAATTTGATATTTTTAGTTAAATGATGATTTGATTTAATGGTTATTGAATATATTTGAATTAATTTGGATTAATGGTTATTGTATATTTAAAAAATAAGGGTATTTTTGTCATATCACATTTTTTTCCCATCTATATTTTACCAAAACCCAAACATAGACTTTACAAAAGTTATCTAATTTTCCCGGTAAATTTTTTTTCTACCAAACAACTTTTTTTACATTTTCCTATCAAACCCACTTTTCAACCATTTCCCCACTAATCTTATTTTCCTATTATTCATAAAAATTTTCCCTCAACCAAACGCCCCCTAATTGCTAAATGCATATTGCACTGATGTTCCTTGTTCCTTGGGTAGGCTTTTTACTTTCCAGTAACAATAATTGCTTAATCTGAAAATAAGATTTTTGGCCCATGGGCTTGCTCTATTATGTTGTATTATTTTTTGGCCTGTGCAGACTGTTTAAGATGCGGATTTTTTGGCATTGGTCTACACAAATAAGGTCTTAACGGATTGGGCTGACTCATTTTGACGACTCTATATATATTATATGAACATAAGCATTGGCCTGGTTTGTTGTTTATAATTGTATGGTTGAGATGTTAAAATTAGTTTGAACGAATTTCAATAGATAAACTACAATTAATTGCATTCATATTGAAAAATTATTGGTTAGCTTTACTATTTTGCAGAAAAAAATAAGGTTACTTGCGTTAAATTAGGAGAAACTTTTACTGATAGAATGAATATGGAATGTTGTAACTAGGGGTGAAAGTGGGCTGGGCTGGGCCAAGCTTTGCCCCGAAAAGCCCAAGCCTACGTCAAAAAATTTCAATTTGGCCTAGCCCAAGCCTAGTATGAGTCTAACTGTTAGTCTGGTTTGGCCCGTTTATAAAAAAACAAATGGCCTGGCTTGGCCCGTTAGCCTGTTAATTTTTAACTTCCAAGCAGAACCATGAATCAACTTTACAAAGTACTCAAATTCAGTCGCTACACCAAAAATCATAATTTCAACGTCCAAACAGAATCATGAATCATAACAAAACTCATACAATATGGACTTAAGTCATTTTCGAAAGCAAAATGCTCAAACTAAATAACATATATTTCATCAGATCCAATAAACAAATCTATACTATAAAAATCAAAATAATTACATGAATCCAACAAACAAATCATGATGCTTGTAGTAAGTATAACTCTTCCAAAAATCTTTTAATATATTCATATATACAATCTAACATGTTGAGATGCTGGTTCCTCCTATATAAGAAATAAAATAAGATTTCTATTAAAATATAATCGAATATAATTAAGTTATAAATAATTGCAATTGATTAAATTTATATCTTTTGTTTTTTCTTCAAGACATACTTACTCTATTTTATTTTATTTAAAATAAATAGTACAATATAGGCTGGCCTGTGGGCTTATAGGCCCGACCTTTTGAAAGTGGGCCTACGGCCTTTTTATTAAACAGGCTTTTTTAAGGTCCAAGTCCGCCCTATTATACAAAATATACTAGGTCAGATCTGGTCTGATGTAGGCCGAGCCGTAGGCCCCTGTAGGCCGGCCCGGCCCAGTTTCACCCCTAGTTGTGACCTAAAAAAGAATGAATGTGGTACAAAAATTGAATAATGAATATGCATCATAATCAGAATGCTAGATTCTCTTAAATTGAACAATTTCTAAACAAATACTAACTCTTCCTCCTCGAAACATGGAATCTATGTTAGTATGCATACGTTGAATGTTCGAGATTGTTAGGGCTTGATTGCAACTTTCCATTTCCTTTTTACTATTGCAATTTATCACTTTCTTTACCATTGTCATGTTTCTTGACTCAATCTCAGGTTTGTAAGGTGATTACTTAAAACAGATTTCATAATGTTATTCAGATTACAAACACTGCAGAGCAACAAATTCACACACTGTTAGGATTTTTTTTCCCCTTTCAAAACTTTGTTATAGAACATATTTAGTTCTGAATCACTAATACACTAATGTAAACAATTTTACATAATAAAATACGTATAGAATCATATGTTGCCAATGAAAAATCACAATAAAACTCCACTGAAAAAACTGTTACTTCAATTGAAAAAGAAAATAAGAAAGCATCTAAATTTTCAAATTTCTACAACATCTATAGTCCTTTGTTCCATCACATTTAACTCTGCAATTGTTAATCGTATATAGAAGATTTTCAAGACTAATTTGTCACAAAAGCAATCTAATTTGACACCTGGTATAAAAAAGAAGAAAAAAAACATTGATGATAAATGAAGGAACTTAATTGATTTAAATTCTTCTGCTTAAATGTTCAGACCTAAACACCAGATTCTAAGAACGAATATTCCACGCGGCAGGTTAGATCAATGAATTAAACTAGGCAATTTATTCAAGCATAGCATTTTTTTCCCGCAAAAAATCCACAGCATCCTTTAATGACTAAAACCACGATGCAAGTACAAAAATGAAGCAAATGAACCTTTTCTTTCTTTTGTCTCTATACGCACACCATTAATTGAAGAACAGTTTCATTGAGAATACATATGCTGATCTCTATTAGGGACAACGCCACGCTGATAATTGGGAGTGGAGGTAGGAATATGGGAGGGGGGGATTTGAATAGCTAAACATAGTGTTAAAACTTTAAATACTAAGTTTATCAGCCCTTTACTTCAGAAGTACAGTAACATAGCCGAGTCTAGTGATCAGTTCAAAGTCTATTTATGCCAGGATTTCAAAATCAAGCAGCTGGGACCTTTCTCCCATCTTCTATGAAGAAAATTGCAGATTCTGGAACCTACAGGAGGAAGATAGATTGTCAATCATATAGAAGTTCTAAAGTCTAGGGGGAAAATGAACTATTTGCATCTATAAAGAATCAGTGACATGTAGAACAAACAAAGCAGAGCGATATGGCTCAACCTGCAAACAAAAAGTTGCCCACTTGTATCAATTAGACAAAGGGCCATGAAACACCAGCTCACTGCCTCTCTTTAACTTACAGATCCATATTTTCCCTCGAATGCTAGCATAACTTTACACTGGTATCTTGTCTATATATGAGCATTGGATGCGTTTAATGTGGATTTACCCTATTGTTTGGATGGAGAGAAAAAAAATAGGGAAGAAAGAAATTTTTTAAAATTTTTTGTGTTTGGTTGGAGAGAAAATGAAAAGAAAAGTCAAAAGGAAAGAAAACTAAAGAAAAAGAAAATGTTCAAAATTTTCTGTCCAACTTTTCTCTTTATTAAAAATTCCAATTTTTTTTTTTTCTCTTCTCTCATTTTCTTTTGTCTCATCCAAACAAAGGGTTTGTGAAATCATCAAGTATAAATTCATTCCTATTCAAGCTCATGGAAACTTGTATTTAATACGTATAGAGAATAAACCCCAATTGGATTTTTGTTTTTTGTTTTTACTTCATGGGGGGTTACAATGATGGCGCCTCCTATTGCTTTAAAATTATTCATAAGCGTAGTAGTTAATTGCGCCGCAATAGCGCCGCGAGCCGCGCCGTATGGGCGTTGCGGTGCCTCGCCGCAAGAAACCGCGTTGCGCCGTACCGGAACGCAATAGCAGCCATTGCGATCGCATTTGCAGCCATATTGCTGTCATAAGGCAAAATGTTAATTTTGTCCTAAATTTAAATGTGTAACAAAAAAAATTAAGGGTTTTTTAGCCTATCCGCGTCTCTCTTTGTCACTTCTGCTATCTCTGCCTTTAAAAAATGTTTCTTTTTGTCATTATTTCTGTCATATATCTATTCCGCTATTTCCGCAACCGTAACCCGCTATAACGCTATAGCGTTTTTCGGGGTTGGCCGCGACATGCCGCAATCCGCATTTGATAACTATGTTCATAAGATAGAAAACATATGAAATGCATTTTATCTAATTAAAACAAGATTAGTTCACTTTAATTAAGATAACTATATCAGTCAAAGTAGTCAAACAAATGGGAGTTCAGAAATAATATAGTAAACAAATAAAAAGAAAACAGGTGTCATCATCAACATCTCTTCCGGTAATAGGCCTAGCTTAGTCAATGACATCCATAGAAAACACAGATGCATCTTTACAGCTAATATTTACAAACTCCAATTCCATCATCAAAGTCATCACCAGTAAGAAAAGCAAATAATACAAAAGGCACACAGATAGCATGTCATTTCTCTAAATGAGTTTCAGGGTCAAACATGTGTGTTATCACTAATAGACCTAATATAATCCAAATTTACCAAGAGACTTAGATCATTAAGGGGAAAAGAAACCAATGTTACAAGTTAAATATGTTCACTCCATTCAGCAGTTGTATCCTAGGGAATGAAATGTTCCATAAAACACATAAGCAAGCAAGGGAAAATGACAGATTGCCGGTTTGAACAACACATTTCCTTAATACGAGTTTCTATAAACAAATTAAAACACCCACTAGTTTCTCTTCCATAACAACAATAAATCTTCTTTGATTGTTACTTTCGATGGTATTGTTACTTTCGATGGTTGCCAGAAATACATATTAAATCAGATTATAATACCAAACGACCAATCAAAATCACTTACATCAGGCCATGTTTCTGTAATAAACTCCACAATGTCATAAGCTATATCCCCTTGAACATCAATTTGATCTTTCTCAGTTGGGCCCTGACACCAATCAATCCAAAATAACGTAAGACATTATATATATACATATCCATCTACTAAACAAACTATACAAGTCCACTTTCTAAAACACAATAAACCTTGACAACAGAGGCTCCTGTAGCAAACTTCTTCCCTAGTTTCTTCGAAGCATCACTGAGTTTGACACCTTAAAACCAATAAAATAAACCATGTTAAAACACCAACGGAACCCATGTAAAAATAACTCAAGAAAATGCAAAAAATAAAATAAATAAATAATAGCTCACCGAAAAGTTCCAAGCCTTTCACAGTGGTGATACATTTTCGCTTGTTACGTATAACCTTCTCAATAACAACCTCTTGCTTATCCTGAAAAGCAACACCACTTCTGATCATAATAAAATGATTGGAACCATGAATATTTAGCATGAAATTATAATAATGAGTGTGCTTAATTTAAGAGCGTGAAATAATTCAAAAAAAAAAAAAAAAACATGCCTTTTTCTTTATCTTCCCACCAGGAAGACGTTTCACCTCTTCTTGCTTCGTTGCTAAAACATCAAAGATTCATAATACACAATCAGAAAAAACAGCATTCAAAATAAAATTAGTAAAAAAAATAAATAAATATAAATAAAATTACCAGAGGAAGCAGCTCCATCACTAGCTCCTGAAGATAAACCAGTACTTTGAAGCTTGTCAGCGACTTTATCAGCTTCCTTTACATTTACCTCTGAGAAAAAAATAAAAATAAAATAAATAAATAAATGGGATTGAAAATCAAGGTTAAATACGAAGGATTGAAAAAAAAGAGAAAAAAAAGGGTTAATAGAGAAACCTTTAAGAAGATCGGGGTATATGTCAGGGACGTTTTGGATCAACCAGGGTTTGCATTTATCAAAATCGGATCCGAATTCGCAGTACTCAGGGGGCAAACTGCACACCGCACAGTACAGCACCGAAACCGGTTGGGGTTTCTCTGCCATTACAAACAAACGAAGAGCAAAACGGTGCGTTTTCTCAACGCAGCTCTTGAAAATAAACGATGCGTCCACAGGCGCGGTGATTGATTGATGGAAGGGAAGGATTTTGCTTGGTATTATTGGATTTGGATACGACCTCTTTTTACCAGACCATCTACAACTAGAGCTGGCAAAGCGGGCTGTCCGCCCCGCCCTGCCCCTGCCCGTCAAAAAGCAGGCTGACCCGTCCCGCCCCGTTTGGGCGGGCGGTCCGCCAAGCCCGTCACATTTTACACTAAAAATTAAAAAAAAAAAATCAGGCCGGGCGGGCTGGCGGGCAGGGGTTTAGAAAACTCAGCCCGCCCCGTCCCGTTTGGCGGGCGGGGCGGGCCGGCCCGACGGGCTCGGCCGCCAGCTCTATCTACAACCACTTCGAATACAATAATTTTTAAAAGAGTTTATTTTTTATATATATTTAAAGAAGAAAATTATTCTTACCACCTCTTTTCACTTAAAATGTATTTTTATAGTTGATTTCTATCAATTCAACGATTATAATTTATTAATTAATTATTAATTGTAATAAATTATAATCATTAAATTAATAGAAATCAATAGTAAAAAATTAAAGTTATCCGAATTTATAAAACTTTTAAGTTATAAAAATAACACTCCTCTAATTTAAATAATACATTTATTTGTATTAATTCTTGTTATATATCTATTTACATTACATTTAGTATATGGGAAAAATATTTATTCACGAGATAATTTTGTGTCCTATAATCCTGAAACTATTTCCTTTTGAGGGTTAAGGATTAATGAAGGATATTTTATGAATTTTGTTTTTTTTGGTTATAAATTTTTTATCAAAACATCCTTCATTAATTCTTTTAACCCTCAAAACATGTAGTTTTAAGGTTAGTGGAGATAAAGTTATCCCTTGCGATAAGAGAAACAATAAATATTATTTTTAATTTTATGACTTTTATTCAAAAATAAGTTACAATTTTATACAAAATTAATTTAAAAATAAAGTAATTCAAAGACGTTATTAATTTGTTTATGTGTTAAATTGTACAAAGGCTTGGTAAGTAAGGGTGTGCATGACAACCATTCTGTTTCCTGATACTATTTCTGAAAAGAAACAATTCTTTTCTATTTCTGTGTCTTGGAATAGTTTCTGAGAAAAAATATGTTCTATAACATGTTATATTTTTATTTCTAAAATGAGAATTGCGTTTGATACCACTATAATAAAAAATAATTTCTATTAACCATAATTTTTTTCCGGATAGTGGTGGCTGCATGGTGGTAGTAATGGCAGTGGCTCCGACGATAGTGGTGGTAATAATGGCGATGGCAGTGGCTGCGACGATGGTGTCGGTGGCGGTGGCGTGGTAATGGTAGTGGTGGTGATGGCAGTGACTGCGGCGATGGTAGTGGTGGTTGGTGACGGTGGTGGAAGTGGTAGCGTTGTGGTGGTGGTGGTAACAGCAGTGGCTGCGATGATGGTGATGGTGATGGTGGTTGGTGACGGTGGTAGTGGTGATGACGGTGGCAATGAGTGGAGGTGGGAATGATGGTGGCGATGACATCGTCGTGGTGGTGGTGACGACGACATTGGTGGTACAACGATGGCGGCGAGGATGGTTGCGGTGGTCGTGTCGGAATGATGGTGGTGGTGGTGATGATGGTGATGGAGTGTGATTGAGAAAAATAAGTGTTTCTCATTTTGTGCCCGGTAACAAAAAAACAGAAAACTTTTTATTCTTTTTTCTATTCCCCAGCACAAATATTGAATCGGTCATCCTGGGAACAAAAAATAAATCAGTTTTACCCAACGATTTTTCTATCCATTTCGGTTTCAGGGAACAAAAATTAAAAAAAAAAAAAATTGATTCCGGGAAGGTTGTCATGCAGACCCTAAGCAAGACTGAAAGTCTAGAACCTATTTTCATTATCAAATTGACAACGTTTTTAAGAAACTGATTTATACAAAAAACTGACATCTTCAACTTTATTAAAATGCGCGCATTGTGTCACTGCAGATGAATATTTTTGCAGCAACACATAAAAAGTCAGTATATGCATGTGGATCATGATTTTTTTTATAAAAAAAAACTAGTGGGACCACTTTTTCTGTTTTTGCTGCACTAAAAAAGTGGTGCAATGACAGCAGAAGTTTGGAATCCTTTATATATATATATATATATATATATATATATATATATATATATATATATATATATATATATCTACATACATACATACATATATATAGAGAAGATGGTTCTTTTGACTCCAGAGTAAGTCTTTTAAGTCTTACTCATCATCTTAGCCGTTGATGGACGGAAATCAACGATTGTCATTTATAATGTAATCAATAATTAATTAATTAATATGGCTTCCTAAACTATAACCGTTGGATGGACGGAAATCAAGGGCTGAGATAAGGTCTAAGAGTTAAAAGTCTTACTCTGGAGTCAAATGACCTCTCTCCCTATATATATATGAACAAGATTCTTTAACACCAAATCTTAACCGTTGATTTTCCTCAATTTAACAGTTATAATTTATTGAAAATTAAAAATGAATTAAGAAGTGTGACCCAATAAATTATAATCGTTAAATTCACAAAAATTAACGGTTAAGATTTGATGTCAGATTTTTTAGTTTAACAACTTTTTAATTTGACACTGATGTCAAATGAGATATATACTTATATGTAGTGAAAAATATTTCTCCAGTCTTGTGATATAAACTTATCTCCAGTCACCTCAAAATTACGTCATTTTGGGGTTGAAGACCAAAAAAAAATATCTTATTCAAAAATCAAAAGTCTTAAACAGAACAACAATTATCCCACATTCATCTCCTTTGTAGCTGGTCGCTCTTCCCCTTCATTGATTTTCCACTTCGTTTTTCTCCTTAGCCACCAGTGGTTATTCTTTTTTGTCGCTTATAAGACCCCACTTTTTATAAAAATTAAAAAGAAGAAAACAAAGTAGGGGAAACAATTTTTTCTTTCCTGTGATTCCCTACACCTACCTTGCCCCACCACTACCCACTTCATGATTTTTCTTTCTCCTGGCTTCTTTTTGTTTTTCATCACAATCTCACTCTCTTCTCTATTTTCTTCGGGTAGAGCATTTTAGAGGGGAGTAGCATTTGGAAAAAAAGAGAGGGGGAGGGGGGCTGGAGATCAAGGCTGAGAAGAAAAGAAGACAACCAAAGAAGGAGAAGAGATCAAGGTAAAGAAGGTAATACATCATCAAGTAAGTACCCATGGAGAACACTTCTTCTTCTGCCCTGAAAATTCGATTTTCACTAACACGCAACAAGGTAGAGTAGTATTTTGATGGTTGTTTATGCCTTAGTGGGTTGTTCTTTATGAATGAAAAATTATTTTGGGAGAAATTCATGGTAAAATCTTTTGTTTTATATTGTAAAACTATTTTTCAGAGGTACTATATATGGATATATATGGATGAGTTAGAACCATTATTAAGCAAGAAAGATGATAATTTTAGGTATTACGAATTTTTGGATGGATATTTGGTATTCTACTACCAGATATCCAGATATTTGTCGAGGGATATCCGGATATCTAGGCAATGATGAACAATATATGGATATGTGAACTGTGCATGTGAACAGTACCAAAATTTTATTTTATTTAAAACATGTAATTTTGAATGCCATGTAATGTTATTGTTGTCTATGAGTTATTAGCTTATCTATTGCTACAAATTATCACAAATTATAAATGTTTATAAGGAGAATGATTAATATAGTTATGTTATTATTATATGATGATGAACATATATAATGAAATAAGGGGCGCCTAAATTTCCATAGAGTAGCTTTAGACGACTGACGTGAGTCGTCGAACTCACTCAAATTAAATAATTAGGTTCAATAAAATTTGTAATACAATGGACAACCTGAATCGTCTCTCAAGGACTTTGCAAGGGACTTAATCACTCAATCAAGAACGAAAACTAAAGCAAAATATAAAAAGCAAAATGGAAACCAAAGCAAAATGGAAACTAAATAAAGAGTAAATATCATTTTTGGTCATCAGCAAATTTTACGATGCCCGTTTTAGTCCCTAGCAAATAAAAAGGCTATTCGTGGTCCCTAAGAAATTCAAAATGGACCCATTAGTTGAAATTGTGATCCCTCACAAATTCAAAAAAGACCCATATTAGTCCCTCAAAAGGACTAAAATGGGTCCACTTTGAATTTCTTAGGGACCACAAATAGCCTTTTTATTTGCTAGGGACTAAAGCGGGCATCGTAAAATTTTCTGAGGACCGAAAATGGTATTTACTCATAAATAAAAATGGGAACTGAAAATAGGCGGTTTAATACAATTAGAATTTCAACGAGAAATTAAAGCAAGATTAAAAGAAAAAGGAATTTATCAATTTAAAAACAACCAACCCAGAGTTGGGATTCCTAGGACATCTATAACAATCCTCACTATCAAATAATTGACAAATTAATCAAGAGTTTAAGTGGGATTTAAACATGTATTCAAGTAATCGGTAAACGGTAAATCATGTAATTGACATGATAAGCAAGTTAAGAATACAGTTTATGCCAGACAAGTCTAATAGGACCCTAAGATAAGTATAAGGTATATGTGGGGACATAGAGGTCATTATGTGAAAAGTTAGTTTAATTTGGTAATTGACCAAGGTGAAGTCAAAGGTTGATTTTGATTGTGTAATTAAATTCTATGATTTATTTTATGGGTTCAAAGTGATCTTATCTTGATCAAACCATATCTAGATTAATTTCTAAAAATTAGTCAAAGTAAGAAAAATTAATAACCAATGAAAATTGGTTTAGGTTAAAGTTGAATGCAAAGTTGTTAAGTTAGTAACATAACATAACTTTGTGAATTCTTTGCAAGATTTTTGATATGTGATGGATTCTTTGAGACTTTGTATATTTTATATTCTTAAAGGTCAAAGTTAAGTGTTGACTAACCAATAAGAATCAAGGTTGTCTAGTCATGAACGAATGGACCAATGGTTATTAAGTTTGAAAATCTTAAAGTGTTCAAAATGCCAAGTAAGCAATCCTAGTCATCTACCAAGGTGCAACTCGGTTTTGGCCACCTAGAAGAAGTTTAGAATGTTGTATTATGT